ATGTACATAGCTCCCCTATTACATTTAATTTTTTTATTCAATGTACATTAAACTCTTTCATATTATATGTAGAACTTAAATGTGAAAAGTCAAAAACTACTGGTGTAAATATCTTGTTATAAAATATCAATTTTAATATATGTGCTGTATAAGTTTGTCCAGTTCTGTTTTTGATCCCTGTTTCTTTCACATTGATGAATCAAACAATTGCATTTGGTTAAGGGACAATAACGTGAAGGCAAAATACCATCAAAGTCATTGAAAATGTGTGTTCTTTGAAATTCCTCATCTGAATCTAGAGAGAAGAAGTCTGTTGTAAAGAGCCAATTATCTGTCTGCTTCCCATCTATGATTAGCTATTATTCACACGTCTCTGTGTGAGAGCGACGGGTGCAGAGAGGGGACAAGTGTAGAAAAACAGAGAGAAGGAGAAGGACACAGAACCTGTCAGTGTGCATGTGGTCGGTGTGTATTTCTGCATGTATGTCAGCCTGCCTGTGTGTTTGGGAGTGAGAGACGGTTGGAAAATGGAGGTGTTGGTGTTGACCTGTCACGGTGTTCTTTTAGCACAAATGAAGCTGTGCTGTGTGGTGCATTGTAGCTATTTCCCCTTTTGTTATCTCAGTGTAACACTGAATGATGTTCAATTGATTTTTCAAAAAATAGAACTAAAGGCTGTGCACAACTAGTATGATCACATCCATCATGAAACAAACAAGGTCTAATTGGTTCTATAAAGAAGCATGAGGTATCTTTGCTCTGTGAGGAAAATGTGACACAGTTAAAAAGTAACAGATGACAGCAACAGACTGGACAGCTACACTGTAAGCTGCAAGTTATTGTAGTGTCTCATCTTGTTGGTCTAAAGGTAAAACTGTAGGCCTGTAAGGGCAGAATGATTGTTTTATCAAAATCAATATAGTGTCTTATGTCTTAGCAGGGACTGTAGCTGCTCTTCAGAAGTAGGACCAGAGTCCTACAGAGTCCTGTTGCATTGAGAATCAAAAGAAAGAATTTTCCTTTTTGACTTTAAATTTCCATTAAGTGGTATTTATCAAATTTCAGTTTATTGTAACTTGTTTATTAAACTATTTTGGTAAGTCTCCTTAACAAGATCGTAATTGCGTAATCATAACCAATAGAAATGATGGGGGAAGGATAAAAGAAGATCCTTTAAAATCTGACATTTATTTTTCATTGATGGGCAGAATGTAACATAAAGAGTGTATTTTTAGACAAAGAGAACCATATGGATCCTTGATTTTATTTGTCATATTTTGCCACATTTGTTGCTTCAGACTTTCCCTTTTATGTCGCCAGGTTAATCTGACAACGCAAGTTATTCTTTTTATTCATTTTATTCGGATTGGTGATGTTTATTTTGTGATTCACATTTTTCCTGAGTTTCAACAATCACACCAGAAAAGCACTTACAATCATTTGAACTGCAATCATGATTTGATTAAGCCGAGCAGGAATCTCGTTACCAAGGCAACTCTTCCCATAATACTGACGTAAATGTGAGAAATCACATAGATTTTGAATGGATATAATGGCAAGTTTTTGCTTTCACATAGAAAAAGGAGACAATGAAGGCAATACATTTCTGTATGCCACAGTGTCTTTTTAGACGCTACCACTGGGGGAGTGCCAATACCAGAAATCTTAAAGTTCAACACATAGTAGCTTTAACTTGGGACTCCATTTGAGATGTTTGTTGCAAAATCTTGAAATACAATTCCTGGGAGAATTTAAAGGGTGAAATACTGAAGCTGTATGAGCCACTAGGAGCTTGCATCACCACTAGACGCTGATGCAACTTTGTCAAACCAGGCAATATAAGTGTGATGGACATGATGTTTTACTTATCTCAAGGACGTTTCAGTTGTCTGCAACGTGACGTTTCATAGTGTACTGAAATAAATATAAACCGAAGGCTCCATGGAGCTGAAGAGATACTTGCAGCAGGGTTACATTGTGTTAATTGCCGTACAAACAGTTTCACAGGTTTTTGTTTTCATCCCCACTGGATATTAGTGTGGGTAGGAACACTTTTAATAATATATGTCACAAAATGCAGATCAGTGAATGAGATAGTTTGTAGTCTCCTCAGTGGACGAGATCCTGCTAATTACAATAAGAGGCAAGACAATAAGCTCTGATTAATGTTTATCATAGGGGCTTCCAGCTAATGACAATTTTGTGTGTTACGCTTGGGAAATGAAGAAGGGATATCATTATCAGAGTCAAGCTTTAATCAAGAAAAGATGGATTTGTGTTTTCTTAAAAAAAGGTGAAGGGATATGCTTGATTCCTGGGCGTCGTTGCTTACATTTTTTTGGCCAAGTCTTCTATTATTCTCTTCATCTGGGGGAGGAAATAGAGAAGGAAAAATGGAGGGAGGAAAGGAGAGAAAGAAACTGCTTTGAATCCATAAGTAGCCATTTTGCCTCCCACATCCTGCATAATGTTAACAAATCCATGCAGGGACATGGTCTTGTTTGCAAAGTGCAAACGCCCACAGATGAATGTAACAGAATCAAGCTAAATCTGTCATTAAGAAAATACTGAAGATTATATTTGGGAGTGTTGGTGAGCGTGAATACACATTTAACACACATTACCTCTGGCCATGTGATGAGACCGATCAGCCTTCCCCTGTCTGCCACAAACAAGGTCTGGTGTCCAATAAGACTCAGGATACTGTGGGCCTGTGATGACGCAGAGGAAACTGGATTTGAAGTAACAGATTTTTTTAAATGTGCACATCATTTTTTTGGATATATGCTCATCCATTCCTTTGCGAGAGTTACATGAGAGGATTGATACCAATATTCAATTGATACCAATTCTCTGTAGGTTCATCACTATGAGCCCCTTTCATATTGTGACCTAATTTGATACATTGCTATTATGTTAATATCAATTATAGCCATTTTAACTACAGAGTTAGAGTCAGTATGGGTTTAGCTTAGCTTAGCATAGAACTGGAAAAACAGAAAAACATCTAACATGGCTATGTACAAATAAAAAGAATTTAATAATGATAATTTGCCATTTTAGTGTAGAAACTATTTTGTGACAAACAACAAATGTATAATTTTTTGTGCTGTTTCCCCATACTTCCAGTCTTTATGCTAAGCTAGGCTAATCACCTCCCAGTTCTACCCCTGTACTTAACACACACACACACGGTGTTGAACTGTTCCTTTAAATTCATCCAGACTTTTCCAAAGTCTGCCTACCTCCTGAACGGTGTTGTGAGGTGATAATAAGACTGAGTTTGGATAAATGCAGCAGACTTCATCCAGATGTTTCTCCAGAACCTGCACAGAATAGCACAAAATATACACGCACATTTGTATGCATTTTCTGTCAGATGCATACTTGTCATTTAGTAGCATTTAGTATTATTTGAGAAATTATAATTCAGTTGTTTCTGTTGCCTGACTGAACTACTTTCCTAATGTATCCTTTAGCTACAATCCCATAAATCAGTTTTTTAAAACCATTTTTAAAAGGCAGCTGTCCTGTCTGTACATCCTGCTCCCATCCTCTTTTTTGCAACTGTTTTACATTCAGTCAGTGTCGAACAGATTGTATAGACATGACCAGCCTTTAAAGCAGCATCAGACCATTCAGTCATCTACTTTCACACTACAGCTACCTGTCTGACTCCATCCAGCCTTTTTACCTCAGTCTTACAGTGACGCAGAAACATCAGCAGCTCTGATCGGAGGACAAACCCCAGTAAAACCTGCGAGTCTTTAACAGAAGAGAAGAGAGGAAATCAATTTTCTTTGCCACAGTTGGTGCTACAGTTTAGAGTGTGTGCAGCTCTCTAGTGGGTTGTGAGTCGTCTGATGCAAACACAAAATTTTATCCATGTGATTACGGCTGAAAAGCTCAGCTGGTCGATTGACTATTTTCTCACACTTGTCAGCTCCTTATCGAGGCACTTTCACACCGCTGAATTGCTACAGCTTTCAAAACGGTTACAATTTTTCATAATTTCTCCTATTATTTTCATCTTTTCTTCTCAGGGGCTCTATGCAGACATATCTATCCAGCATGCATATGACGTTTTCTTAAGGATCCTGCTGACTTTGTGCCAATATTCCACATCCTTAAATATACTATATATATTTTTGTGAGAAGATTAGACAAAATGTGACTCCTTAGCCAGAAGACTGGGGTAAAATACTATCAAACATCTTTGCGAACCATGTGAGTCCACCACAGGGATTTGTGTTTCAGTGCTGGTGTTGACAGCATGCTGGACCTCCACTGGCACAGCTGCTTTCTGAAGCTGCACGGATTTCTCTCCCAAAACCTGTCCGACTGGTGTGGAGAGAAGCCTGCAAAAGAGATGAATCATGTCACACCTGAAACAAAAGCAGCTGTGGTGAAGTGAAATGTTAAATATCAGCCTATTTATCTCGGTGATGTCAGAAATAATTCATATGGCTGGCTGACAGGTGAAATATTTGATCCAAAGACAATTTTCATTGAGGTTAATGCATTTTCAAAAACTATTCTCGGCTTCACAAAATGAAAATGGTTTGATTTTAAGGTGGTAACAAAAGATTATCTGACATGTCTAACATTGTTCCCAGGTACAAACAGAGGAAAATAAGAGTAGCACTGCAGTCCTCGGATTGCTACAGTCTGTTATAATGTACAGTGCACGCCAGAAGTTGCTGTGCCTGTTGTCAACACATTCATGGAGTAAAGCTTCAAACCAACATTTAAATGTTTTGTTTTTCCAATGGGACTCTGGAAAAGCATTTTCAAGTAGTTTAAGGTGTCTGGCAGACAATTAGATGAGTGAGTTTGTCAGAGGAATACTTGAAGCTGTCGACATGTAGCTGTTGGCAAAAACGACATAATTTCTATTTAAACATATCATTATGGGCTGAAATCCAGTATGGGTGATAGAGACATGGGAAAGAAATAAACCTCAGTAGGGCTGCTAACTGCTATCACCAAGGCAGTATGGAGAAATGTTTTCCTTGACATTTCACATCTTGATCATATTTTTTAGCAGACTACTGTCTCACAATTCTCTACATTTAGATCTGCAGCCACAACAGGAAGGAGTCAACGGTTTATTTATAGATTTAATCCCTGCTTTCAAAGAATATTTAGTCATACTGGTGAGGAAAAAGATTGATCACAGTTCAAAATGTCAAGGTCTCCCTTTGATACCATCAGTGACAGAGTTGTTACGGAGGTTATATTGAGAGATAGTGAGCAATGATTTAATTATAGGCTGTGGACTATACAAAAACCATCAATAAACAAAACTGTTGGATAAATGATGTGTAGATTAAATATTCTTACTTGCCCATTTACATTTCACATTTGCATGTGGTAATGGAAAGAATGATCCACACAAGTGAATCTTCCAACAGATGTACTGTCCAGAAGCTAATTTCACACAAAGCTTTTAATTAATTAGAGATGCTTTACTTGAACTGGTATCAGAAACTGTTCTCAATTTTTTCTGCAATAGTGACTTAGGTTTTCCTTCCTCAGAACACAAATTGAGAATAATGGCTCTGTGGGTGGGTGATGGGGTTCTTGATCAAAACCTGTGACTCAGGCATTACTTGGCGGGCTGCAGAAATTTGTTGCTGGTAAAAAAATCACAAAATCCATCCACAGCACCTGCAGGGTTGCTATAAGTGAGCATCAGGTACCACAAGACATCTCAGTTTGGAAGATTAAACAGTCGTTATTTTGCTTATTCTATTGTGAAATGAATGAATGAATTTCCAATACTTTTTTTCTACTGCTTTAATATTCTATGGAAACAATGAATATGTGAATATATGAATTTAATTTTTTATTTATTTTGGATTGCTATTTTTAGTTTGCAGAGTCACTGTTTGTTCCTTCTTCAGATAGTGTATACTAAAGTAATATCAACCAACTGCTTGCACATAGCCCACTACTATAGCTTCAGAATATCACCGCAGGTATCACCAGCATTAGTTACTTACCAGAGAAAAATGGAAAATGTTTATATCTGTGATCTCAATAAGACCCGGCCGTTGGTGGTTTTTTTGTTTTACCACTTTTACTGTACTCGGGGCAGGCCTTCATCAAGAGAAGGCAGGTGTGTTGGGGAGCCTCGTGCTGTTGACGAGCGCATGCATAGGAACGACGGGCGGGTGCCCAGAGGCGAGCCAGCGGCGTTGGCCAGCAGAGTGGCGGAGAGATGGGTACAGCATGGCTGAACTGGCCAGTTAACTCTAGAGCCAGGAGAGCTGGGGACAAGGTATGTGTCACAGCCCCGGAGAAGGCTGCTGCACCTACAAGGCAGAAACCATTTTAAGGTACGGTACTAATAAAATTGTAAACTATAGTTAGTACTTATTTTGGTTTGTATCAGTTTATCAGTATTTTACCAAACATGATATACATATATAGTACAAGTCAGTCAGATATGATGCTTTTAGATCTGTAACATCATTGTACTGTACTTGTAGTGTTTCTGGACGTGAAGGAAAGGATGAAGTAAAGGGACCATTGCCGTCGATGGTAAGCAATTAATAAACACCTTGTAAAACAGTTGCAGTTTGGTTAGGTTTAGGCATCTATAGTAAGATTTAGGAAAAGATTCATGGGTTTGGGTTAACATAAGTACGCTAGTTATTTCAGTTAAGTTACCATTAATAGTTGGTAATACCAGAATGTGTATTTTCAGAAACAACATTGGGAGCAACGCGCAATAGTTTTCAAAATAATGGAAGTACAAATAGGGCTTTATTTCCAATGGAAAATTTTGGGAATGATTTTGGAATAGAGGACTGTCAGAACAATGGTATGGCACTGGTTTCTGGTGGGATACTTTAAACACAAGTTGAATCTAATGCAGAATTTTAGTAGATCCAACACATATTTATATTCAGAATTTCATTAAACACTATACCCACTGAATATTTCTGGAATAAGTTTACAAAATATAGGAAGTGGCTTACACGGTACATGAAAGAAGGATATACAAACTGCAAATATATAGGCAAGACATGTCATCAAGACATCACTATATCAACACCAAAGAGCTGTTGATCAGTTTTTTTTACCAGCAAGTGCGTAGCCCCCAGGATTTATAGAACCCCACTGCTGGCCTGAAGTCAGTCCAGTGGCAGATACATAAGCTACTCCTTCTCCAAGCAAACGGCCCAAAGCTGCCCCTACAAACAGAAATGTATATCTCAGTTTAGTAATTTATCATTTTAACATTCTGGTGCATGGATGCAGCATGACAAATTCCTCATATTTTTTTTTAACTTTGTGCTATTCAGGTATTCTGCAAAACAAACTCGTCCAAGTCCTTTGTCTTCACTCACCATAGACAAACACTGGCATGAAGTATCCAGCTGGCAGAGGCAGAGTGCAGGCGAGGACCAACATCCACATCTGCAAACCAACAACAGACACATAGGCTGTAAGATCTCTCCTTGGCATCTGAATAGCCACAAAAGCTCTGCTAGCACATGCAGCACAGCAGATGGTTCACTGTCAGTCTGTGTGCTAGGAAGTGTTTGCAGTGCCCTGAAATCAGTTTTGCACAAATAAATATTGAATCATGCCCATTTACATGTGAGATTTGCATGTGGTAATGGGAGAAAAAACTGCTGTAGCAAGTGGATCTTATGAGTGGGTCCTAAATAAATGAGTACATTTCTCACAGAGCGTCATGCATTAGAGGTGCTTTGTGAGATGAGAGGTGAGATGGTGGAGTGCTTCAAATACCTTGGACTCACTCTAGAGAATAAACCCTAAAGCTTTGAACAACACACAACAGACATTCACAAACGCTGCCAACAAAGACTTTCTGCCATCTGCAAACTCAAAGCTCTTTCTGTTACCCCCCACCCCACCTTCTGCTGCTGCTTTATAAAAGTATTGTACAACCTATTCTCCTCTACTGTTCCACCTGTTTCTTTAACATGTTAACTGCCTCCAATAGAAACAAACTCATATGCATCACAAACAGCGCCTCCAAAATTATTGGTCTCCCTAGCCCCAACCTCTCAGAGCTCAACAGCAACGCCGTGACACGCAGCGCACACATTATAGCACACAACCCCCGGCCCCCCCTCAATCAATTTTTCACACTGCTCCCATCCGGCCACAGATACAGATCACTAGCCTGCAAACTTGGCTATGGCAGAAGTTTCGTCTCTTCCGCCAAGCATTACTCGACAAAACTCCCCGGTAGCCGTTATGTGTAATTACCTGTGTTGTGTTTAGATGTCTGTGCTGTGTTTAAATGTCTACCCTGTGGTAATGTTGTGTGAATTCGTGTATGTACAGACTGTGGCAACAAATTTCCTGAAAAGGACAATAATAAGAATGTATCCTATCTTTACTTTGACTGGTATAAGAAACTGTTCTCAATGCAGTATGTCCACATATGCTGCTGATATTTTCTGCAACTGTGAGAAAGGTTTTTATTTCTGTTTGTAGAACAAATGAGAATAACACATCTGGATCAATACCAGTCATTACCTGGCTGGCTGCTGAGATTTCTGCTTGTTAAAAATTCCTCTGTCCACCTGCAGCGTTGCTATAAGTGAGCATTAGGTATCACAAGACATTTCAGCCGAAAAGGTTAAACAGTCTTTTGCTCGCTTACTCTACTAGAAAAATGACAATTACTGTATGTCAATTATGGGCCACTGTGACCCGAGTGGACAAGTGGAGGTAGACAGAGAAAAAAAGACTCCTTATTAACTAATTGCCCTTTCCATTGTGTGTACCTTCATGAGCAGAAAGACAGTCAAAGAAAGGTGGACAGGACTCCCTGGTGAGATCCACTCCAACAAAGGCTGAACAGTGGCATTGTGGGAGTAAGAGCTCCACTGCCTGCTATCCAGTAAGGAGGTGAGGAGCTGCTTCATGGTGTGCTGTGAAAGAGATTACTGCCATTCAGATTACTGTCTGAACATGAGAACAAATTTAATTAAATGAAGGGTGAACATTAAAGTTGATTGAAGGCTGGCATTATTCTATATGTTTCTTTTTGTCAACAAATCACATGAAATGAGAGAAAATCTATTAGTCAGTCTCTCATTCTTTCCAATTTCCCTCCCCTGTCTGTGACACTCAGCCCCATTCATTCCTACTGAAGATTTAAATATTAAATAATGGGCCACACTGATTAGCACAAAGTGTGGCCGAGGCTGTTGCAACAGTTGCTGGGATATATCAGTCTGATCCACAGTGTTGGAACAACCAACCCGAAAGACTGACATAGCCATCCATAGAGCCACTCCACTATTTTTAGTCTTGTCCCTAACCTCTGAAGCGGTACTCACACCTCTAATTTTTTTAAAGATTCAAATAGTTCACCCAGTTCAACAGTGATGTGTTTTTAAAAGATTTTGGATTAAAATGGAGGAATATGGCTCAGAAGAATACGTTTTGATCTTGGTCTTTTCATGGGATTGGTTATCTTTAAGGAAAAATATAGAATATCTCCAGAAGGGCTGTACTGAATAGTTTGAAGCTTCAAAGCTCTCGCTCTCTCTGTCTCTCTGCATGGGGGCAACTTTGAATCGTGTGTTTACAAACAACGCCTGACATTTACTAATTTAATCCGATTAATGACTTTATTCAAATTGAGGATTGTGTTCAACAATTTTTTTTAGGGTGATGACAGAATATGACGACAGACATTCAAAGCGTCATTTGCAAACCTCAACAGAAGCTTTAAATGTGAAAAAATGTAATTCAGTATAACCCTAGTCTACAGCCTTATCATTTAAAGGCACATCTCTGTGATCTGTGTACCAAGATCAAATCATTACATTACACAGCAACTGAAACACAACACACACTTTTGATCTTGCTGTTAAAGGTTAATGTATAAGTAAAATATTTTTAATGGTGATCCGTTGAGAAAAATGTCCTAGATATAGTATGGCTCTAACTAATCGATTATGTATGTACATCCAGAAATTTTAGAAACTGAATTTTGTTCATTCCCACCTTAGAAGCCATATATTGACCAACAGAGTGGGGAAATGTCAGAGATGCCAGGAAGAAGACCACCATGCCTGAATATAGGGCCTTCCTGTGGAGAAGTATTCACATACACAGACACCACTGTTATAATTATATAATGACCTCATTTAGGCCTTTCAATGTGTTTTAATCATGGCAGTTTATAATTACATGTTGTTTTTTTACACTACTTAGATCTGCACCTACTTCTAACTGTGAAATAAGAAATATTTTTAGGTGTATAGATAAGATCACTAGGAATTTTTTAACCATTTAAATGTGGCTTAAAAGGCCCTGCATAGTACTTTATCAAATTTTGTGCTATACATAGTACCCATCTAGCTGTGTACAGTATGTAGTTGCATAACACTCTGGTAAAATGGATTATCACACCATGTTTTGGGACATTGGCCCATCAAATCTGCTTGAATTGATACTCCACCCAAAATCTACAGTATCTGTCAGAGTCTTACACAGCAGATGACTCAGCACTGCATCACAATCTGGCTTCACAAAGTTTAAAGAGCTCTCACTCTGTCGTCAGCATCTTGTTAAACATCGGGTTTGTTTTGGTGAATTGCAGGATCCACCGATGGCAGAAGAGATAGCAGCAGCTCACAGCTCCACACAGCAGCCTGTCTCCAGACAGAAACACAACTCAGACAAGAGAGACTAGAGGCTTATTTTAACCCAGGCAGCAATAATCGGAAGTCATTAGACCTGCTAAAGTGACGCTGGTGGTGAGGAGGAGGAGGCCAGGAAATGATTGTTAAGAGAAAAAAACTCAGAATGCTAATTAGAATAGAAGGGAAACACAGGAGAAGAATAATTGTGACTGATATGAGTATGAATACCAAATGTTTGTATTTGTAAGACACAGACAAAATACAGGACTTGTTGCAGATGTTGTCATAAATAAACTTACCCCAGGAAAGCAAACAGCAAAATCTCCAGTGGATAGAAAGGTAAAGCTGTGGGGAAATTAGTTTTGAACAATGCCCGAAGAGTCTCTGTGGACACAAAACAAATTAGAGTCATCACTCCAATTTCTATCACAGCCTTTCAAAATCTAATCTTCCTTCACTTTATTGAATTGAGTTTTTATTGAAATTTACAGGCTGTCAGCTTACATTTTTCTACTAATTTTACCAATGCTGCTCTCCCCAGTCATTGTCATGACAGGTAGTTAGATAGCTGTCAACATCATTTTACAAGCTAAAATGACCTAACATTTACTTTAATTTAAAAGTCTACCCTGAAGTGTGACATTTTCACGGGAGAAAAATGCTACTATTAATTATTGGCAAACATAAATATAAAGAATAAACTATAACATTAGACCTTTTACAAATTGATGGGTACTCTGTTGATTTCAGCACATACACTTTATGGCCAAAAGTATGTGGACACCTGAACATTACAGTCATGTGTAGTGGTTGAATATTTCATTCCAAAACCAAGACATTGATATGCTGTTATAATAGCTCAATGTTCTGGGAGGGCTTTCAATCAGATTTTGCAACCTGGTTACAATATAATTATAAACTGTAGCATTAATATTTCCCTTAAAAAAGGTTCCCTGCTCCAACCATGACTGAAAGTGAACAAAAGTATGTGGACAGGGGTGTCATACATGGCCATATAGTGTAGATGGCATGTAAATCCACACTTCCTCAATAAAATCTTAGATCTTCTTTCATGTTGTTGGGTTTGTGGCCCATTTTCCTCAGGTAAAGGTATCAGAGACTCTAAAGTGAATCTTCTCTTTGTTGACCATGAGGGGGCAAATGCTGATTTGGGCCTTATTACCTCCATCTCCACTCCACACTGAGAACAGCCGGAAGGTCAACGCCCCACAGATGGCTGAGAAGAAACATGGGCAGTAATGCCTCAGGGCAAAGTGAGAAGACATCACCTCCACGCTGAACAACACACCTACAGGAGCAGAGGAGGGGGCAGGGGGAACAGCAGAAAAACATGGAGATGAGTGTAAGGTTGTCACAAAACAGCAGTAGATATTCTAGATATATGAGATACAATTGTAAAAGAATTTTATTTATATTATTTTTTTAAATATTTGTTTGCCTGCATGTGTGAAATAATGTGCATTTATTTCAAGTATTAATAGACAGTTTCATATTTCACAATGTGAGTGTATGGGGTTTGAACCTAGGGTGCTGAACCCTCAACAGGGTTTCAAAAATGAAATAAACAGTGAGGTGAGAGGATCAAAATATTAGGCGGAGAGGTGATCAAAGGAGGAATAGCTGAGACAACAGGATGAACATAAACATGATGGAGGAGCAGAGGAGTGAGGGAAGATAAAAGGGAAGAGCAACTATGTGAAGCTACAGAAATCAAAGGTGGAAATGCATTAGCCAGACAAAAGTAAGAAGGACAGATATAATGCAAGCAGATAAATAGAAATCGTGGATTCCTAATGCTGAACCGTTATTTGCTCCCTCACCGCTGATGGGAGCTCCGAAGCAGCTGGCTACCCCAACTGCAGAGGCCACAACCAGTATTTCTCCAGCAGCTTTTTCCTAAAGGAGAAATATGCTGTCATGTCTCTTTTCAGACGTTTATATCCTACGAAAAGTAACAGTAATGTATGAAATCTTTGGTTTTTCTTAAAGCTGCAGAGTTTCTTTGGCCACTTGGGCTATATTATCATATTATCTGACCTGACATTATAAAGGGTGAATGTTTTATTTGCCTATTTACACATCCAGCAAACATGGAGCAACATTAGCATTTTAAAAAAAGGAATCTCTACAGTGTTTTCTCTCAGTCTCTGACTGATTGAAACACTGCAAAGTGCTTTGGATGTGCATACCTTTCTCATACAAAATAATCTTGACTCAGCGCATTCTTACTGACTTTTCAACTGCATGTTCATTAGCAGACGGAGACTACTGTTGAACATGCAGTTAGTTAGCACTGTTTGGTGCTGAGCAGGGAGTGTACAGTGGGTATATCAGAGCTTTGATTGCTGAAAACAGCTGTTGGCTACAGCTGGAAACTAGGTTGAAGAGGTTTACAGGCCGTAAAACCAAAACATTGAGTTCAAAGAGGCAAAAAAATGTGCTGAAGGGAACTACAGAGTCTGATAATAATTCTCTGCGGGTTTGTCACTACAAACTGATCCATTGTTTATATAAAAAATATGCATTAGAACAGCTTTAGGATATACTTTGTACCTGTAGGTGAAAGGTTTTAAATAATTGTACAACTATTTATGTGGGTAAAGTGGATAAACTCTTCAGTACATTTGAATGACTTTACTGTGGTTTTACCTTCTTTTTGGCTTGTATAAGTGTGCAGAGATTGCTCAGGTAGACTCCAACCATGGTGGAAAGATGCACAAAAGGACCCTTTGGCAAATATAGAAAAATGTTTTCATAACAAAGCAGACAACATACATTTTAAGACTCGCTGCATATTTTGAATAACAAACAGGTATACTGAGATGTCTCTCACCACTTTCCCCAGGAAAACAGTGCTGCCGGCTGCCAGTGTACAGATAAGGCCCAGGAACTTGGTAAACATATTAGTGAGAGATAAGTAATGAGGCATTTCAATACCAGCCAGCATGGTTCTCACCTCTGGTATCCCCGAGCCTGAGGAGAAATTAAGCAACAGGACAAGAATTTTGAAAGAACCAGAGGTACTAAAGTATTTAAGAATACAAAAACAGAATACACAGGAATGATTTCAGAATAAATAAATAGAGGGTAACCGTATGGCAAGGACTGTGGGATTTCAAGGACAATCAGCACACAACAAACAAGCTGAAAATGAAGCATAACGTAGTTTGTGATTGATAAAGTACACGGTTTCAAGTTTGAGGCTGCTTCTTTGGGGAACTTGGTCACATACATCAAACACATTTCCTTTTTAGGGTCCATCTAATCTTTTTGATAGCAATGTCATCAGGAGGGGCAGAGGCCATAAACATTAACATGAAGCTGATTGGGGCAGGGGGGCAATTTACTGTGGCAGAAAGGGTGAGGGAGTTTATTTGAAGGTGGAGCTATGCTCTCTTCATTCATGTCATATCACACCCAGCCCCCTCCTGCACCGCCTTCAGCACCTGCATACACTCCTTATAGTACACAGATAAAATCATAGTTGACTTTTCATGCAATAATGTCTCCTTTTATCACTCACTGAATATGAAAGATAATATCACACTTGACTTTTTCTTAATGCCATTTACTTCAAATAAGAAAGAAAGATGTTAAGAAAAGATACCGAGGAAAATCAAGACACACACAAGTACAGAACTTCTTTCATGTTTATCTCATCAACACTGTATCCTGTAATGTAGTGGTTCTCAACCATGGGTCCGAAAGCCCCCAGGGATCTGTGAGTTAGTTAGTTAACAAACTTTTTGTTTTAGTTTAAACCATTACAGTAAAAAACTAAAACTGAAAATGTTTATTGGCATACTATGTTACTGTTGTTGGACAGACCTGTGGAGAAGGGACAGATGTTGTGGGAGAAAGATGATGCGACAGCACAGAGGCATGCTGGGTAAAGAGTCCAGCAGAAGAACTGTAGCAGACTGTTGCCCTCCAGCTTCACATAAAGCCACTGGTGAGCTACAAGTGGAGTGAGAGAGAAACATTAATAATCTGTGCCCTTTGCTCCCTCAGACTGTGTCCTGTAAATCAGTGTGTGTGTGTGTCTGTACCTGTCAGCAGCTTTGTTACAGTTAGGTCCATGAGGAAGCTGAGGATGGCAGTCAAAATGCCTAGAGCCATATAGCCATACCACTCGATCCCACACACGGTCCCCAAACAACTGATTAGCTTCATCAGCCACTCTGTGGACACAAACATGGGTTAGCCTTCCTAAAGTTCAGTTTGTGAGGCCAGACAATGGTACCAAAGCCTCAGAGGGCTCTTAAAAGGTTAAAGTTCCCCTCGAGACATGTATTCAGACATACACACAAATACTCTGCTTGAAACAATAATGTGGATTTGTTTTTTCCTTCCACCTCATTAAAAATGTAAAAATATGTAAATTGTTTATTGTTCTAAAGTTGTCCTGCTGGACACAACGCGTCTCCTACTTCACTGCAAAGTCTATTCTATGTGTACTGTATGTGTACGTGTACTGGTGGCTTGAGATTTCTACATCACACTTGTATAAGAAGCATACTGGACCACGGTTAACTGTGATGTCATAAATCATGCTTGTAGGCTGCCCCTTAAAATCTGATTCTCAGTGAGCACAGAGAAACTTTCCCCTTCAGCACATGAATGTGAAAACATCCTTCCTCCAACTGTAGGAAGAAGGAAAAAAACACTTTTTTTGAGTGGAGAGGGATGTTAAGGTTATTCTAAGCCTCAGTTTTCATGGGATGAGGCTATAAGACTCTCTATTTAGAATGCGGTCTGATGCAAATCGTAATTGAATAGAAGAAAAACAATACAGACAAAATGTAATACAATAAAGCATCCTCTACCTGTAACTATAGTATTAGGGATGTCCGATAATATCGGCCCTCTGATATTATCGGCCGATATTCACTAAAAAAAATGTAATATCGGGGAATTATCGGGTATCGGGTTTTTGATAACCGGATGTTTTGTTCTGGTTGAGGCTTCAGCATTTTCCGAGCCTGCATGAACGCAGCACCGTGGGACGTTTACCGGCGCGCTTAGATGACGGTTATAACAACAACAACAACTACACGCGTAGACTGGTTGGTTGCTAACTGTGGGCTAATAACCTTTTTTTTTTGTTAGCTTAGGTATGACTTTCGTTCTGTTTTTTATGAACTAAAGATTGGTGTAGATGCCAGACTTGCGGAGCGGGAATTCATTTCCTTAAAAGACTTTTCGTTGGTTCACCTTGCGGCAAACACTTTAAAGCTGAATGATTTTTTATATTAACAGCAAATAAGTGCAAATGCACCTTAAATATTTTACCCTGCTATGAGGCTGTTTCTTTAACCAAACTTAACAATTGGCTTAGAATTTACATTTAGCACTCCTTGCCAGGTTTGCATAATACACATTAAAACACATCACCAGAGCTAGCGATTAACGTTAGCGATTAGCGGTTAGCGTCTTTTCAGTATTAATACAGATGAAAGTTGAAGTTGTTTCTCTTATTTTTGGCCACCAGGACAGTGGTTTTACATTTGGAAAGCCATGCTTGCATTTATGTATGATCAGTGAGGCCATCACAATAAAGATGAGGCGATAATGTGTTTTAATTCCACAACTTAGGGAGATATGTTGGTTGGACAATATCGGAATTATCGCATGAAAAAGCCAATATGGCGAGCATTCCCTATATAGTATACATATATATATAAACACATATGAAATGGAAATTGCAGCATTTGTGCAGGGTATGCAACAGATCATAGTTATGTTTGCATTAATGGGTGATGACTATATGAATATTAACAAAATAGGAAAAAGCTTTAAATATCATTAAAGTCTCCTAGCATATTGATTGTGTTGTCCTTGAACTCACCAGTAATCTATGACTTCTCAAAATAGCTACTCTCTGATGTATTGATCAGCATTGATCACATTCTAATGATTTTCTCCTTCAGACCTTTGACAATGGCACGGGTCCGTCGGCATGGTTTCCATGGTTCAGTGAGAAGCAGACTCTTATTATGGGATGTCTCAGATTGATTTTCTCGCTCCGA